TTAGGAGTGCACGGGGAGGGACATGAGGCAGCACTTTAGGGACTTTCTGTCTCTTTTTGTGTTTGCATGTTTCTGCCGGGTATAGTTTTGCAAAGAAATGGCGTTAACGCCTTTTCATGCGCGTAGGCCAAGTTCATGTCTGGAAGGGCATGAGCGTCGTGCTGTGTTCATCACCCTTGTTCATATGATCAATGATGTAATAGTCGTGGTTTATCTGCATGCTATGCATTGTTTTAATAAACCTTATGTTTTAATGTTATGACTCTCATCTCATGGGTGAGGCTGACCGCCAGGGGATGAGTCGACAGAGTGGAAAAACCGGCGGCAGAGCGATCTAATAGGTGTGTTCACTTGACCAGCATGTTATGAGTTACATTTAACTCGCGTATCAATCGTTTCATGGCATGAGTTACTAGCAATGCTTGAATTCGTCACAAACGGTAAACTCATGTGGTATGAGTGAGGGAACGAGAGTTAACCCGCAACTCATTGGTGATGTGACCGCTACAGGGCTAGTAACATTTACTAGCGCCTCATGTAGTCAAACGTGTGGTGTCTTCATTAACGGTGTAATATGAGTAAGCCTATACTCGCATATCATGAGTAATCAAAATGAGTTACCAAGAGTACATGAGTTTTTCACAATCGGTTAACTCATAATACACGAGTGAAGAGACATGAGTTGGTGAGACAAGACACGCACAATTGAGAGGTGGAATGACCGGTGCAGGCCTAGTTACATTACCGGCGCCTCGAGCAGTCAAATAGGTTGTTTAAAATTACCGCCGGTTCATGAGTTTACTCATCACCCATGGGTAATTTTGTTTTCAGTGTGTGATTCTTTTCGACACTTACCAGCCACAAGCCACAAGGGCGTGTGACCCAGAATAAAGAAATGTTATGGCACGCAGGAGATCATTTCCCCTGGGTTCGCCCAGCCCAACTGACAGTTTTCAGTTTCCGCCTCCGCTCTCTGCGCCTTTGCGGGATACACTGAAAACAATTCAACCCGCGTACAGCGAGTAAAACCCGCTGCTGGCGGGTACACCTACCCACCACCTAATTTGACACTCTACCAGCGGGTGCGTTTACCCGCATATCGCAGGCTGTCAACCCGAGTATATTGTGTACCTAACCCGCATAGGATGGGGACTCAACCCACACACAGAAGGCAACCTACCCGTTCGCAGCGGGTACACAATCCGCACATGGCGTATTACCTGCGCTGCGTGGGTTGGGAACTCGCTTTCTGCGAGTACAAATATCCGCTGGTAGGGTGTCCAAATCAGCTGGAGGGTAAAGTACCCTCCAGTGGCGGCGTTCAAGGAGGAAAACGCCGCCATCGCCGGGATTCGAACCCGGTATCTTTGATATTACAAACCGATGCGCTACTAACTGCGCCACAGGCGACCTGACGCAGAGCGACTGAAATGTCGGTGTATATCAGATTAAAATGAAGAACTGACGGCGGACTCAATACAGAAAGTAAAAAGGCTTATCTTATATAGACAATTGACATGAATCCACCTATAGTGTTTTAAATATTAAGGAATAGTTTGGACAAATATTTCATTTGCATCGGGAAAGATTTATTTATCCAGGCTTATTTTTACCAATAAAATGTGCTAAGAACGGTCTGCAAACTTCACCACAATGCGCCAGATTCGCGGACTGCAGAATATTCTGCTGAGCGTTCCAGCGAAATATTCTGCCGGCCAAGACGTGACGTCATCCAAACAATGATTCAAATGTCCCAAGCCCGTTAAGTACCCTCCTAACTCACAGAACGCAGCCCCACAGCTGTTACAGTTACGATTACAATTGCCTTGCACATCTCTACCCCTGCACAAGGCCTGCAGAAGCACGCAGCCGAGCCGAAAAGCGACTATTGTGGCGCGTCACATTTCAACACTCGTTTGAGCGTCGAAGTCAAAAGTATTAATTTCAAAACCAATGCCGTGCATCAGTCATGGGATATCTGCCATGACACATGCGTGATCAAGGCAACCTGCGTATAGCATGTCACCTACCTTGGCGCAGCGAGTTACACGATGCAAAACCTGCGTGATGCGCTTACTCCGTGGGCGCGAGTAACGCCTGCGGCCACAACCCGCTGCGGACGAGTGATTGACCCCGCCAGAGGAGGTTTCATGTATCCGCGCATGACGGGTTGCTGTTTTACCCGAGTATAGCGGGCGTTGACACCCGTGAAGCGGGTGAAAGCTACGATGATAACGGGATGCTCTGCAAAACGCGGGAAGCTAAACGGGTAGTCAGCCTACCCGGCAGCAAAAACTCGCGCAGAGCGGGTAATTTCTTCAAAATACCCGCGATACCCGGGCCAACTCGCAATCCGCGGGTTGAATTGTTTTCAGTGTAGGACCATATGCAAGTCTGCAGACCCTGCTTACCCGGTCCGTAATGCTTTGAATGAGGAGCTAAGTACCGTGACCCAGGAAAAAAACGTGACCCAGAAAAAAGTTTGCCAAAAACCGTGGGACAGACTTTTTGCGTTGTGCAGTTTTGCTAAATTGTATAACCAAAAAATAAGAAACACGAAGAGAAATTTCAGTGTTTTTGCTATTCACGACGCTCCCTCGCGCTCAATTATCTCTAAAAATAACTACACAGCAGCTCTGTAGATTTTTTTCGCAGGTTGTGGGACAAGCTAAAATACATAGGCACACAAAAACACGGTTCTGGAAAGATGTCCAAATTTTTTTTTTTGCCACTTTGCTGTTGCCTTTTCAATGAATTTTTTCTTCAATCAAATGTCCAAATCTCGCGTACGGACCCTTGTTACGCTGAAATAAGCTCATTTATTTACGTGAGGCATTATTGAAATCGTGGGACAGCATATCTCCACGAATTTTGACGGACACTCATATATCGTAACACATCCAAAACTCACAGACTGGTCTTTTATTATTATTCATATTTTACATTGGTGACAACAGCATGGACATAGTTTCACCGTTTCTCTTCCGATAAGACGCAACTTGGGATAAGTAAATCTGAGATTATCATGAATGGATATTTAATATCTATTTCGGTTATAAAACACGAAAATCAACGGTGGTTTCAGCTACGCAAAAATGGCGTGTATGTTAAATAACTGTTCATTACCAAAGGGATGTCATTAGAGCATTGCATGTCCTGTAACAATTGCTGACTTTCACCTAGCAGCTTACACGACACATTTTTACAAGACAAAACTTATATGCCGGACCCTGTAAAAGGGATAATAGGACCAGATACTGCGCACTGCTCGGGTCCGGGCGCTGACCGTAAAATAGTCATGCAGATCTACACCGGGTGCGGGCAAACACGCCCACCAAGGGTCTCTTGAGTGAATTTTCTGGTTTCCGGCACGCCGAAAAGTCGTTGTCGTGCAGGTTTCGTCTTTTCTGGGTTCCACAGCTGTGCTTTCGATGTCCTCCACGACGTCCTTTGCTCGAATGATCAATGCACACACTACACACTAGGGCGGGTCGATGGAAAAAGTTTCCAAGTGAAGAGCGATTTTCCTACGGGCTGATCCATAAAACGGTTAAAGCATATTTTTTGCGAATTTTTGAAAAGGAACTGGGCGCGCCGTCAACGGTTTTTCGAGACCACTTTTGCTAATTTTTCTCGTTGTTTGCAAAATGTAGTGGGAAAAATTCGAGAAAGGTACTATATTTACCACTTTCCTAGTTCTACATGCTTACCCCCACCTCTTCACAAAGTTTGGAAACCCCAGTGGCAGAATCGTGCTCAGAATAGCGATTAGCATCGGCGCTCTGAGCGCAACGAAACCAGCGCCATCTATTGAGCGAGTTTGGCATAACATTGATTTTGACGGCTTTCCGACCGTTAAAAGCTGACGCAGCCGCTGCCACGTCGGGTATATGGTGTTCTTTGGTGTTCCTAGGTGTCTGGTGTTCCTTATTTGACACTAGGTGAGTTGTACCCATTCGATCCGAAATACTTCAGGAATCATAAATTGCTCCGGAAGCTATACCTATAGTGATTTCGCCAAGAAAACAGCGAGATGCTTAACTTTGATACCTATATGTTTATCAGTTAAATTAAGTTTTGCAGACAGATAACATCAGTCCAAACCGTATGTTCATTTTTGAATGCAATGTAGCCAGCCACCTAACCGTCCTAGGACAGAAAATCACACTTCGATAATTGATTCAAACGCCGGCATGAGAGCGTTGCATTGCGTCCTGATGGCACACGTGATGTAACCGAGACGTGCTCTCTTAAAGGGACCCTCCCACCTTAACATTAGATTTGAGTTGAGATAGCCAAAATGGGGTCCCTGGCTCACAATTACCGGTTTCGGCACTCACAACATCGAGAAATGTCTTAAATCGGAAATATTGAATTTCAAAATTGCAGCATTTTGATTCAGAGGGGCTAATGCTTAGGAATACCCCTCTGAATGTGTGACGTCAGCGCAGATATCTAACGATTTTTAAATGTTTGACTAAAACGTTTTGTAGCACGCGGTGGTATATGCTATTTGCGCGCAACATCTGCCGCAAACGCCGCACTTCTAAAATAAAGTCGCTAGAAACAGCGGAGATCCTAAAAAGTAAACAAAAGTAAAAGTCTAATATCTTGAAAACCGGTGAATATTTTTCGGTGAAATTTGATAGCTATTCGTTTTTGCTCTTTCTGAACCGAGCGACATCACTTTCATGCCAATTCATAAACTTTTTTGAAGGTGGGAGGGTCCCTTTAATAACAGCAACGTATGCTGCCTAAGTTAGGAACCGGACGGCTCGCTCCACTGCCTGAGTAGTGAGTATGGGTATGCACCGGATCGAAATTAATTTGTTAAGCAGCGGGTCGAAGGTCACCCTCTTCCAGCGAGATTGCTATTGGTGACTCTGTAACGCGTTCTTTGGACCGATCTATGAGCTGCATGTAGTGCATGACTTGTTTATTGCAAAATGCTGATAGAATCGCATATCTTTATGTCTCCTGCCTCATTCGCTTCTGTAACGAAATTCGTTCCTACCCCATCCTCCACCTCCCTCTGTACCTACTTACTGCCCAGCCCCCTCGCCCACTTACAATATCCTTATATGGTCCTCACTCCTCACCTGCGACGCCTGTCCTTGCCCGCTTCTGATTGGTGCTATGATATGACGTACATTTGTATGTCTGACGTGTATATGTGACGTATGTGTGTGTGTGTCGTGAACTCGGCCGGTGCCGCGCGGTGTGGCACTTCGGTCTTTGAGTCACAGCCGTGCACTTCTGTCTTTATTGCTCGGCGGGCCGGTCTGTCTTCGGCCCTTGGCAAAGTCAATTTGTTTGTTATCTTTGGTTTCTGTGGCCGTGAATTGAATACAGGCCCAACTTTGTATTTACCTTCTGTTTATTATTGGAATCGCGTGGTTGAACGGCAAGAACAACTACGGTCCTACAAATCTAGACTATCACAAACAAGAATTTGCTTATTAACACTTGTATTCTGTTACAAATGGTGCCGTGACCCGGATCAGATAAAAACCTCAAGAATTGAAATTGGTTCCGCAAGAAATTGTTCTACAAGTCTACGAACAGTAAGCTGTCACTCTTTCCTATCTTTTCCCTGAACGTCTTCGCCCACATTTTCAGTTTCGATTGTTCCACTGTTATTGTGCCTGTGTATATTTGTGTAATTTTTGCATTGTGTGACTGTTATCTCCGCATATGTTTTCGTGTGTCAACTGAACTGTTTATTTGGCAACGCTCCATAAACACCACTTGTTTGTATTCGCTGATTGATTTGTATTTACTAGAGTTTTCAAAATGTCTGAGGCAGTCATCACCAAAGCGCTCCAAAATATTTGTCAGGAACTCCGTATTCAGGGTCTAACTCAGCACATCCGAACATTCTCCGGGGAGGGTTCCGCCAAATTCGCCCAATGGTTAAACGACATGGATCAGATATCTATTACCTGCGATTCAGAGCGTATGTGTGTTTTGGCGACCATCACTTTAAACGGATCCGCTGGTGCGTACGCTTCACGCATGCTAAAAGAAAACCCCCAAATCACGTGGTCGGAACTCCGACGCAAACTAAAGGAAAGGTATAGCGAAATGACTGATCCGTACCTGGCTTCGGAAAAATGCAGACGTCTAAAACAGAACCGTGGTGAGTCGGTACAAAATTTTGCTGAAAAGCTGCGGACAATGGCGTCGGAGGCATTCGAAAATCTCTCTGCCCCTGAGGCGCAACGCTTCCTAGTAGAAGTGTTCCAAAAAGGCGTGAGCGACGACAGCTTGGCGCGAAACTTGATCAGGAAAAGATTCACTAACCTCGATGACGCCCTCGCTTTCGCTGAAAGTGAGCAGCAGGCCGACAGGACTTTCCAAGTCTGCCGCCATCACTCCCCTCCTCAGTCCGACGTCGAACCCATGGACTGCAGCGGTATTCAGTCCGCTACAGACTCTGAACTTCGGACCACTATTCAGAATCTAACCTCCCAAGTGCAGCGAATGTCTCGCGACATCCAAAAACTGAAACCGCAAAAACGTGCTCAGACCGCCCCACCGCAGGTGCGTTTCAACGTACCTCCGACTACTCCCCCACAGACTTACTTCAACGTTCCCCCGACAGCTCCCCCGCAAGTCCGCTTTGATGTTCCACCCCCGCTGATGTCGTACTATGGCAACGTACAAACTCCCCCTCAAGCCCCTCAGACTCCCAGACCGAACTACCAGTGGACTGAAGATGGATCCCCCATCTGTATCGCTTGTGGCACACCTGGACATGTACGCCGTACGTGCCGACGCAACTCCACCCGTCCTCCTCCCCAAAGTACCCAGGGAAACGCGAACGCGCGTCTCGAAAAATAGCGACCAGAAACGCGCCAAAGAAAGCCGGTCCGAAACGGAAAGTTTCTACAAAGAAACCTGGACCGCAAGCAGCACAAATTAAAATTAAACCTGATACGCCGATGTGCTATGTATCTCTGAGCGACCAAAAAGCCTATTCGTTAGTAGATTCAGGAGCGGACATATCCCTTATTTCACGTGCAGCTTTTGATAAAATTCAGTGCAGGAAAATCAAGGGTTTTTCTACGAGGAACTGCGTTCCTATTCGTTCTATCTCTGGTCATAGACTCACAAACTTCGGAACGGCCGTACTACAAGTCAAAATTGCAGGATTTAATCAACCGTTCAAATTCCAAATCGTAGAAGGTCTGAAAAACGACTGTATCCTAGGCAACGACTTTCTCTCCGCATTCGGTGTTCAATTGGATTTTGGACAAAAGACGATGAACCTCGACGGTAACGTCATCCCTCTGCGACCGCAACGTCTGACTTGCCAAACGACGACATCTTTGGTTCGAGTGCCTCACAAAGTTACAATTCCTGCTCAGTCGTATATAGAGATTCCCGCGTTAGTCAACCGTGTTCAATTGCTAGATCAAGATTGCATAGTACAACCTTTGAGCAATGCACCCGTTCTAGGAGAAGAACCTGGTTTGTGTTTGGTTGAAAGTGTAAGTCACGTAGACAAAAACCAGCGTATTACAGTCGTGATAGTGAACGCCACTGGTAGGGATTACGTTTTGCCTTCTCGATCAGTCATTGGCATTGCGGAAGTTTTAGAAGACCCGGAAGGATGCATATTTACAGCTAGTGAGGAAGGTGACCAGTGTAGTGAACCGTCAGATGACGTCCCCGAAAGTCAAAAAGCGCGATTGTCACATGTGTCCGAAGGTCAACGTAAAAAGATACAAGACTTCTTGGCCCAAAATGAGGATTTGTTTGCAAAAAGTGATTTAGATTTAGGTTGTACTGATTTAGTGAAAGCAACAATTGAAACTGGTGATCATCCACCAATTAAACAGCGACCTTACCGGTTGCCTTTCAGTCAGAGAAAACTTGTAGAAGAGCATATCCAGAAAATGTTGCAGGCTGGCATCATTTCCCCTAGTCGTAGTCCCTGGTCTAGTCCGATTGTGATTGTAGACAAGAAGGACGGACAAAAACGGTTTTGTGTTGATTTGCGTGCTTTGAACAAGATCGTTGTCAAAAATAGTTACCCTCTTCCGCGCATAGACGACATTTTGGCTTCGCTTGAAGGTGCGAAATATTTCACTTCTTTAGATCTCCGCAGTGGGTACTGGCAGATAGCCATGGATCCCGAGTCAAAGGCCAAAACGGCATTCACTTGTTTCATGGGTCAATACGAGTTTGAAAAGTTATGTTTTGGGTATGTCAATGCACCCAGTCTGTTTTCAGAGCTTATGAATAAAGTACTGTGGGGCATTCAACACAAATTTACTATTGCGTATTTGGATGATATTTTGATTTATTCAAAAACCTTTGAGGAACATTTAGAACATATAGATGCAGTCTTTTCACGTTTGAGAGACGCTGGCTTGAAATTAAAGATGTCAAAATGTGAGTTTTTGAAACAAGAAGTAAAATACCTAGGCCATGTAGTTACTCCATCTGGTATCAAACCGGATCCCGAGAAAATAAGTGCAATACAAAATCTCCGTCCTCCGACAAATGTCAAAGGCGTCAGATCATTCCTTGGTATGTGTGGATTCTACAGGCGATTCGTTCCAAATTTTGCAAGGATAGCCAAACCATTGACAGAGCTAACAAAGAAAAATCGTCGTTTTTATTGGGATGATGCATGTCAGGCTTCGTTTGAAACTCTTCGCTCAGCTTTAACAGTTGCACCAATTTTGGCATATCCGAACGTAGACAAGCCGTACAAGTTATATACTGACGCGTCACAAAACGCCATAGGTGCTGCGCTAGTCCAAGAGACTGAATTGGGTGAAAGAGTCATCCAATATTTGTCGCATCAGCTCAACGAAACCCAGCAACGCTGGCCTACTATCGAGCGAGAAGCTTATGCGATTGTATATAGTGTACAAAAGTTCCGTCCCTATTTACTCGGTTGTAAAGTTACGATTATGACGGACCACCAGCCCCTCAAGCACCTGTTCACCAGTGAAATGAAGAATGCTAGGATTCAACGTTGGGCGATTATATTAGATGAGTATGGATGTGATATACAGTATATTAGTGGACGTCAGAATGTAGTTGCAGACGCATTGTCGCGACTGGACACCTCAGGAGAGGATTGTCACACGGATATCCCAGGAAATGGATTAATGACTAGTGAGTCACTACCGTGCCATGTCGACGAATGCGTAGCCACATTCGGTGTAAATAATGAATCTTCGCGTAGTGTGAATGTGATTGATTCTGATAGAGCGCCTGACATTCAAGTAGAGACTGAAGTGAAAAGAAGTGAGTTACCTGAGGCTCCTCCCAAGGAAAAATTCAAAGAGTTTTTGCAAGGACATCCCGACCTTGGTTTACTTCAGAGAGAGGATCCCGAGATCCAACAATTGATCAAAGTATTACAGGACCCAAATCATTCGAACCATGCTGTAGTGTCTCGTTATTATATTTTGGAAGACGGTCTACTATATCGAGTTTCTGATCCGTCCAAATACCCCTCATTTCCAGGTTTGCAGTTAGTTATTCCCAAGCCCCTACAGAAACTGATCATCGAAGAAATTCATTCAGGCTATTTCGGCGGACACTTAGGTATAGATAAAACGTACGACAAGATCCGTTCACGTTATTTTTGGTCCGGTTTATATCGAGACGTTGTTCAGTATTTAAAAACATGTGTCGCCTGTAATATGCGGAAGCTCAGACGCGAGCGACCCCCTCTGCAAGATATGCCAATCCCCAAGTTTCCTTTCGAGCAGATCGCAATAGATACGTCCGGTCCGTACCCTGAAAGTTTCCAAGGAAACCGGTACATTATTACTGTCATCGATTTATTTTCTGGATGGCCAGAGTCGTTCGCTACCTCATCAAAAAGTGCAGAAACGGTTGCCCAAATTTTATTAGAACATATCATCCCTCGCCATGCTTGTCCTAGGATTATGATTTCAGACAATGGTACAGAGTTTTGTAACGCCGTCATAGACCAAATTACAACTTTTAGCAACATTAAGCATATCCGAACTTCCGTTTACCACCCACAATCGAACGGCAAATGCGAAAGATATAATAGAGTTCAGAACGACATGTTAGCAAAATTAGTGAGTAAATCTCAACGTGACTGGGACACAAAGCTTCCTTCAATCTTGTCTGCTTATCGCACCGCGAAAAACGAGACTACCAAGTATTCCCCTTTCTTCCTTCTTTACGGTCGTGACCCGGTCTTACCAGTCGATAGCATTTTATCTCCAAAATATCGTTACCAAGGTGAAGATTACGTACCTACCATGCTCGAAAACATGCATTCTGCCTACAGTCATGTGCGTCACAACCTAGTACAAAGTCATGAGAGAAACAAATTTTATTACGATCGTACCGCCAAGCCAACGAAAATCACAGTCGGTGATATGGTTTACTTCAGAAACCCTACAGAGGCGACTCAAAATGCTTCCAAACTGTCGTGCCATTGGAAACCTTTTTACCGCGTTATCAAAGCCATCAACGACGTAACCTTTGTCATTAAGAACCAGCTGTCTGGCGATGTCAAAGTAGTGAACGTTCATAATTTGAGATTCGCTGATCCAGATACCCTTTGGGAAAACGTGACAGAAGAACCCCATCATATCAACAGCAAGTACGAAAGTAAACAGAAGTCGTTTATCCCAGTTCCACTTCGTGTGCAGCCTCCACGTCAATCAAAGTTCTCATTCGCTGATACAGAAATGCATAATACTGAAACAGTCACAGATCGGTCTATTCGTGATTCAACCCCCAGTTCGATATCAACCCCTGTTGAAACTTACGCTCCAGCGAAACCGTCGCCGAGTGAACAAAATTACCCACCTTTACCTGAAGATTCTGATTCCGATGCAGATCTTGACGTGCCGTTATCCGAAATGCGAAAACGATGGAGAGAAGAAAAATCAAAAGACAATAGTTCTGACGACGAGAATATTCCTTTGTCCCAATTAGCAAAGCGCCTGAAAACGGAAAAGTTATCTGATCCATTCGAAATTGAACCTACCCCTATGAAAAGACCACTCACCCGTACAGAATCAGAGTCGAACGACATGGATGCAGAAGCGCGTAGCCCTCCTTCAAAATTACAATGTGCCGACCAAGACCACGAATCGGATTCAGACGAATTGGACGCCGATGGTGTACATATTGAAAAGGAGCAAATGTGTACTAACCCACGTGTGAAAGAAGCCCTGTTAGTTAAGATGCTGAAAACGCATGAGAAGTTGATGACCGACATGTTCAAACAATTAGAAAAAATGTAAAAAGGTTCCCCGGCCCACTGAGTTATTACAGGTCGGACGACAGCCGAATGTCTACAGTATTGTGTGGAACCCAGCTAGTACGATGAAGGCTGAACGGCTGTATGGTGTTATAGTGTTTATATAGAATATGGATCCCGGTTTGTATGCCGAAGACAACGTAATCGCGGTACCACGTTGTATTGTGTTTAATGATATACCGACTCTGGCTAGTATGCCACAGCCATTTATGTGTTGTTCATTTCATGTTCGGTCAGTGAACCGTTCAATTGTTCGTGTACTAACCTCATGTTTGCAAAATGTTGATAGTTGTTTGTGTGTGTTCCAGAGATGTGGGCAAGACCGTTCTTCCTGACATTCCTGTTCTATCTGACATCTCCGACAACGGCCAACGTTCTCTTCCTGCCCCGAGGCCATCTCTACGCTTCATACGACCACTGGACTCTTCACATCCCCATCGAAACCAGGACATCATGGACGTTTGTATTGAAGCTGGAGCATCATGTGAAGCTCTTTAAAAGTAAAGTCAGTAGTATATTTGCAGAGCACCGCCAACAATTGCGAAGTGACCAGGCATCTCAGCTTTTTACTAAGTTCAATCAGGATGTAAGCGTTCTCGATCATGAAATGAATCTGACTAAAAGTATCTTGAGACATTTACAAGTCCCGCATCCGCACCGTCCGAACCGAAACCGCCGCTCTGTTTTGCCTTTTATCGGTGATGCTCTCTCTTCCCTGTTCGGTACAGCTACAGATGACGAAATCCAGGAAGTAATATCTCGCATGAACGAATTGAGTGCTTCACAAAATGACATTTTGAATGTTTTTGACAATACTGTGACGGTTGTGAACCAGACCCTAGTAGAAATAGACACGGACCGACAGACGATTAATCGACTGGCAAACGTGACGAACTACCTAACGAATGAAATTTACTCATTGAGGCGCATGGTTGAAGATAACTTGTCCTCCGTTTCAGAACTCGATTCGATGTTGGACATCATGTTCGCTGACTTACTTAACGCCATCCAGGACTTCCGGAGGAGCGTCATTAACATGGAAATTATTTTCAGCTTCGTGGAAAACGGTATCGTGCCACGATCATTCCTTCCGCCCGCTCGTTTCACAGTCATTCTTGAGGAAATTCAGAAAATGCTGCCTCACAAACTTGCTTTACCGTTCGCTCCAACTGAAACCGATAGATATTATTCTGCTATTTATACCCAAACGCGGAGAACCGCAAACGGACTGTCAGTTCTGATTAATATTCCCCTCATGTCTGTCACGGATCACTTTAAGGTGTTTCAAGTATTTAACGTTCCAGTACCGAAACTCTTGAAGGATCAAACGTTCATGGCTAACTATAAGATCGAAAAGGTTAATTTCGTAGCTCTGTCCGAGGATTCCCACAGATTCGCTTTTATTGACGATGACGACATGCATGTATACCTGAGACGACGACTACCGTTCTGTCCCCTGCGCCGACCGATTATGAACACTATGACATCAAGTATGTGTATCCCAGCTTTACTGACGAACCGTACTAAGGACATTAAACAATTTTGTGACAAGGTTATTTCCGTCAACGTAAATACCGACCCGACTGCAGAATACTTTGGCAATGGATACTGGGTCGTAGTTAGTGCAACCATTCCGATCAGTTTTGACATTTCATGTAAAGACAAATCTATCATCAACTCTAGTGAAACTTTGAGACTCGATGACCATCTATCGCTTGTGAAACTGGATTTCGGTTGTACTGCTCTGAACAAGTACTTTCGCCTCCCTACCCATTTCCGTACCGATTCATACTTGGACCCCGTCCAGATCCAACACGTCAACATGTCTCTCGCTTTGAACGATGTTTGGTCAAATGTACTTGTTGATCTTTCGGAAACTAATGTTTCACTCCCCGAAGCCGTAAACTTCATTCCCCCACTTCAGGACAAAAGTGTCCATTTGTCTAACTTGAAGAAACATATTCAACAGATTCGAGTACGCAATGCTCAGCATAATAAAACTGTCGTTATCCCCGCCATCTCGGTCACAACGTGTATTGTGGTTGCGTTAGTGCTATTAACTGTTCTATACGTCCGATGTCATGTGTTTAAACCCATTATGATCCGACCCCAGCAAGTATCCGCTCAAAATCCTGCCCCTGACAGTGTTATTGTTGAAGAAACGTCAAGTGTAGCTCCAAATATCAAGCCCCGGGAAAAACTCACGGACCCAAGTCCCTCGTGCTTACAATGGTTAAAACCGTCTCCGACCCTCGCTTCTCAGAAATCCGCAGATGCCTGATGCAAATATTTTCCAGAGGAGTTCTTTCTCCGCAGCAGAGGTACCAGTAGCGGCGCTCCCACACTCGGTCGAGCCGCCGCCGGTGCTAGTCAGCGCCACTGAGATCGGGCCGCCCCGCATCGGACACCCAACGTCCGGGCGCCCCGATAAAACTACGCTGACGCGTGGTCTGGTCAGCCCGACACCGGACGGACGACCCACAACAAGACGCGAGACGTGAGAACGTCAATGTGTCAATATCTGACACATCATCTGGCGACAGCGTGTCGACATCTGACACATGATCTGGTGTCAATGGACAATGGACTGACAAACACGTGTCAGACAGCAGCGTCAAAGGTGACCTAAACCCTCTGAACTCTCTGAACTCCCTGAACTGATGTGCCCGCAGCGGAATCTTACCAGTGATTGCGAAGCGAGAACCGAATCGATGAGCACGAGTGGGACAGCAGACTATGTTTCGTAAACGGACAATGAAGAAGACTCTATAGACTTATAACTACGAGGACTGCAACGATCGGAAAAACGGGAAATTGTGTGTTGAGGTGCTGTGTATATTGTTGTATTAGGTGTTGTTTGTGCTGTGTCGTGTGTTGTGTACGTTATATCATGCATCATATTAGGAGAATCCCAAGCCGAAAATTTTGGTCAAAATTTCAGCTTTAAGGACCTCGCGTTGTGTTGTAACGAAATTCGTTCCTACCCCGTCCTCCACCTCCCTCTGTACCTACTTACTGCCCAGCCCCCTCGCCCACTTACAATATCCTTATATGGTCCTCACTCCTCACCTGCGACGCCTGTCCTTGCCCGCTTCTGATTGGTGCTATGATATGACGTACATTTGTATGTCTGACGTGTATATGTGACGTATGTGTGTGTGTGTCGTGAACTCGGCCGGTGCCGCGCGGTGTGGCACTTCGGTCTTTGAGTCACAGCCGTGCACTTCTGTCTTTATTGCTCGGCGGGCCGGTCTGTCTTCGGCCCTTGGCAAAGTCAAATTTGTTTGTTATCTTTGGTTTCTGTGGCCGTGAATTGAATACAGGCCCAACTTTGTATTTACCTTCTGTTTATTATTGGAATCGCGTGGTTGAACGGCAAGAACAACTACGGTCCTACAAATCTAGACTATCACAAACAAGAATTTGCTTATCATAACACTTGTATTCTGTTACACTTCCTATACTTTTTTGCCATAAGTGTCTCGAGTCTTTTTATCACCATTCCTTAGTTCAGCAAGCATCGCAGTGTATCATGTATGCACTGTTTGCTGGCTGTCTGTATCGGCCAGTACAGCCCAAACAAGTTTCCTATAGTGAGCCCGGTACTTATTCCTGTCGATCACTGGGCGAATAACACAGACCGGTGAGCTGAGAGGTCTCGCAATAGCTGGATGCTTTGGAGTAATCCGTCTCTGCAATGTTTACTCCGTAAATTCGGACCACATTGGGACATAGTGAACAACATTGAACTCGGTGATAGTTCGAAGCTGGTCAATATATGTTGTATGATGGGCGATCGCGACGGAATACGTAACTTGCAAGCTGCCAACGTACCTAAGCCATTTTACCAAATTCAAGGGCTCAATCTTCCTTACTGACAGCTACATCAGGATTTGTCAAGAGCGTGACGCCTGCTTCCGGGCTGTTCAGAAGTGTTCTCTGATCTGGACTGCATGGCGTTGCCCGAAACGGCACGAACGGTTCCTGCTCGATGCACAGGCACTCTTGGTAAATGGTCCACTGATCGGCGCAGCTTTAGTCCAGTGGCTTTTCCACAAGTCTTGTATACTTGTTTAATAGTTTGGCCCTTGTCTGATTTTGGTGTAAAATAGAATAAGTATTGACTACCGGGCTCATTTACTGAAGCAATATGCTCGTCCAACAGGCTCGTCATAGCCGATGATTCAGCACGGCTATCCTATTTATCATGATAAACGACGCATCCTTATGCACATAAAATGCAGAAGGGCATTTCCTTTGTAATCACTTGCCTATCCGAGAACAGAATGTGAAGTGTCACCGAGGACCACCACGCGGCATTAGTTCCGTTTCGACATGGAGGCTCCTTTCCACTAACTGCAACAATGTCACATGATTGGGATCACAAATTGCGTCGGAGACCACTTAGCAGCTACTACCGCGGTTATTATGAGGTCAGTTTCCCTCAAAGCTCGATGCTCCACTGCTTGTTGCGGTGGCCCAGCCCCAATAGGTAATCAAAATAGGATCTGATGGTCCGATGAGAACGCGCGACTCGGGCAGTGATATGATACGCGGATCGCCGATCAGCAGGATACCTCGCAGTCGCAACTCATCCTCAGTCTGTTGTCAGATGAAGCCGGGCTAAGTTGGCGAGGCTAACTTAGTACTTTGTTATTCTGCAATTGAGCTGCTACTGTTCAGTTCCAACACTAGGTTTGCATTTCAAAAGAAAGGTTAAATTTACATGCAAGGAAATAATCGAAGCCAAAACTGAAAATAATGCTGCTGAAGTCACAGCGCAGAATCAAATGACTAATAGGTCCAGCGGACACTATCGCACTTGGCGCATAATGGCTGTGCTTAAGTCAGGTGAACCCCCAATATGTACATTTCATGGCTACTTTAATTGCAATTGACAGCTTTCACGCTATAATATACATATCTAAAAACCGATAAACTTTTAGGCGAAAAAGGCACCATTCCAGGCCCATTTTTGATTTTTTTTTGCGATATTAGGTAAAAACAGAAGCTTCTTATCCTAGGAAAAATAAAATGGGAAATCTTTCAAAGGTGGCACACTACCTTTAACCCGCGCCCCGCTGGGGTTCCTGGATTTCCACGCCCTGCTGGGGTGGGGGTGGGGGGGGGGGGGGGGTGTTTGACTTTGAACGCCCCCTTCTAACTCGGCTCCTGGGCCACGTAGCGATACGCGGAAGGCGGCGTTCGAAAAAGCGCCAAAAATAATGACGAAATCACTTTTGGTCACTTTTGGTCAGGTCTACAGCTTGACCAGAAGTCATTGAAGGCAAGATTTGGCGGGTGAGACTAAATGCTTACTTCGAAATCTAAGCTGCGTTGCGGCATTGGCGGTTATGTGCGGCGTGTATGCCGCATGATTAGTAAGCGGCGACCACTAAATTAAAAACTCAATAGCTTTGACCTGTTTTCAATGGATAACACTGCATACCAAAAATGTCCATCGCTCTCGTCATAGGATATTTAGATTTTAATAACTAACTTATCTACATCATTGTTTTGAACCAAATTAATACTTTCAACTTGACCCTCGCCCGCATTGGTGTTTTTCCAGCCGCGAACGTATAAGGTATAACCCCTTGCCGTTTCGCTCCTGATCAAGCTAGAGCTTTGCGAAAAAAAAACGAGCGTGTTGCCCGTGACGAGAGGAAGCCGATGATACCCAATTTTAAGGTCCTAGGTCATCGGCTGACCTTCCAGGTCAGGTCAATGACCCAAAAGGCGGGAAAATTGGGACCTGTTAGAACGTCGTAGTGTGGCTGCTATGGGGTTTTTCGGGGTGCTGATCACGAATATCATGCTAGTTTTGATCACAGATGATGTCTTCATTCATTTAGGCCAGGTCGGGTTAGGTCAGGTCAGGTCAACCAGTAGAGGTCCTGCCGGGTATTTGTAGTAGGTGTCAACCGCCTCTGACAGCCTCGTAACATGTTACGAAGGCACCAAAACTACTTTGTAAACGTTCATGTGGTTGCTTAATTCGAATTCAGCTCGAAAAAACTGGCCTAGAAACATGTCAAACTCGAAAAAGTGAACCGAGGTCACCAAAGGTCAATGACCTGACCTGACCTTCAGGTGACCTTGACACCCACCCTAATGCATGGGGGCAACATCATATCACATGTTTGAACGCTTGCAACCACGAAAAGACTGCAAACGCGCTGCTAATGCGAGCCGACATACGCTGAATCGCGGTTCCGGCCAAACATGGTCTCGAAAAGTAGGTCACAGGTCAAAGGTTATTTGCGTCAGGGTCATGAAAATTTTCAGGGTAGGTGTAAAATTGATCAACGCGAGGGTACTAAAAGTTACGTCGTGATCAGCCGCTTTTTACGCGAGTTATTTGCTAAAAACCGAGGGGAGTCCGTTCAACCCCCCCCCCCCATCTAGTAGAGATGATGGAGGGAAACTAGGCTTTTAAGGAGGGAAGGGAGTCGGTGACGGTCAGGGGCACTACAAGCTGGTGACAGGGCTGACATACCATGTTTTGATAGCATGACTGAAACAGACTTTTTGGGTAGCCAGGAAATCGCATGTGAGAGCCTATTGAAATTCTTACATCGGCCTTTATATGCACCAGTCGACAGTCGTATACAGGTGCGGGATTTGGCATACGATTTCCAGACAATCGAAAGACTGTTTGGAGCCAACGAAGGAAGGAATGAGTGAGTACTAAGTTGAAAGCATTAATTTGGTTTAAAAAAAAATGATGCAGATAACTTAGTTATTTAAATCTAAATATCTTATGACGAGAGCGATTGGCATTTTTGGTATGCAGTGTTATTCATTGAAAACAGGTTGGAGCGTTTCAGTCTTTAATTTAGTGGTCGCCGCTTACTAATCGTGCGGCATACACGCCGCACATAACCGCCAATGCCGCAACACAGCTTAGATTTCGAAGTAAGCATTTAGTCTCACCCGATTTGGCCGATTTTCGGGTCAAATTTCGACAATTTCCAAGAAGCCAACGCATAACTCGGGAACCAATAGAGCTACAACGCCGCGGAAAAGCTCATTCGATAGCCCTATTAACGCCTTTTCTGAGCAATTGTCTCAGGGTTGACCTAGCGTCAACGGTTTTGCCTGCAGGTGGCAAAAACTGCAAAAAAACTGCCAACCCGGCACAATACCCGCAACCTACCACCTGTCAGCGTGCGGGTCGGTGGGGAGACCCTGCAGGAGAGCCCCACGTTAAAAACCTTGGTGTGATTTTCGACCGTCACCTCAGCTGGGACGCTCACGTCAGTGACGTGGTTCAGAAGTGCATGGGTCTCCTGCTGGGTCTCCGCCTCGCGCGTGAGGTATTGTATCGCTGTTTATGGAAATGGTTCGGCGTTGAATGCTCGGAGGCTAATGAAAGTAGTAAATTTTGCCGTTCGAATTCTGACGGGACTCAAAAAGTTCGATCATGTATCTTGCGCGAGGGATGACCTGCGCCTGTTCACGCCCAGTCAGATGTACAGCGCGCAGACCGCAATCGCCGCCCACAAGGCCCTCTTGCATCGAGAGCCTGGCGACATTGTCGAGCTGTTGCGCACCCATGGCGAGACACGGGATGGTGACCGGGTGACTCGACAGGACCGTCGCCTGCGTCCGCCAGCCACGCGTACGGCAGCCGGACAGCGTTCATTTGAATATCGCGCGGCGCACCTTTTAAACTCGATCCCTGAGTGTGTTCTAGAACTAGGTCCGGTGGGTTTTAAAAGAGCCGCCAGACAATTTTGCCGGCGATAGAGTGATGAGGCGTTTGTCTGTGTGCTGTGTATGTGTGTGTGAGTGTATGCGAGTTTCACTTTAACCTGTCTTTTACCGTGACATTAATGACCCCTTTTACTTACCATCTGACTAAGGACACGTAATAGCCACGAATTGTCTGTTGAGTGTCTGCTGTGGTCAAATAGGTACAATAGCTAATAGCTGACTTTTTGGAAACAGTTTTCTGCAATAACTTTTGACTCAAGCCTTGCACGAGCTTACTTTTACCTGCATCGTGTTCCTCTCGTCAAGAAGCATCGAATGAACTATAATTTGACTAAAATATAATTTGACAAAAGAATACCACGGATGTAGATCTAATGGAAATGTGGATGCTTTTAGGAAGAAATGGGGAAAGCTTGTGAAAATAATCGAAGGAGATACAGTTACGTGAACTTGTTTTATTCCTACACCGTTAAAAAACCAAAACAAAACACGTTAAAAGTGCTGCAAAGCATATGGAGACCTTCCTTAGCTGTTTTCTTTATAGCATGTAGCGTGTCTCGCCTGCGCGACACACACACACGGCACACACCTACACACACACACATACACACAGACAC